AATGTATGAGTAAAAGGAAAAAAAGAAAAGTAATATTTTTTTAAATAAAATTTGTAGAAGGAACAAACTCATACTACAGAAAAGGAAAAGAAAGTAATTGTAGCTGCAAAATAATTACACAATTTGAGAAGAGTTTTTGATATTTAATGCTGCAGTGAAATCAATATCATTGACACTTATGTTGAATTGTGGCAAAAAATGTATAAATGAACTACGACAGGAATTGAATTCATAGCTTTCTTCTCTTCAGGTTCAGTGATGAACTTTATAGAGATCCTAGAGCCAGTAAATCATTCCATGCAGTTACAAGTGATCAAAAAGTAGACAGCAATTCTCAAATGTCAAGACGATATCCGCAATGGCTTAATACTTGGGTGTTTTGGATAAAACTGAACGGTTTTCGAGTATAATAAATCGTTTCCCAGAACCTGGACATAGTTTTATGATCACTTATTACAAGAAATATGAGGAAAATTTCTCGATAGAAGGTCTTATCGAAGCTCAATGGGACATGGTATCGAAATAAATTGATATTTAGAAGCATTATTTTCAATCGATCATTAAATGCAGTGAAACCGTTTTCATGTTAACGCCATAAAAAATTAAAAAGGTGGGGAAGAAGTAGCTAAGCGCAATATGCTTACAAAATGTTCTTATCCATCATCGTGCTATATGCGAATGCATGTCTTGCGCTTCAATTTTTTGCTTCAACGCCGCTCCTATTCCAATGTAATTGGGTCATTAGTTCAGATCAAAAATTAGTAAAACAGGTTGCCATATTAGGATGGTAATTATTTTCTTCCATACAAGTTCGTCCTCTGGCAACCAGTAATCAGTAACCAATAATTAAATAAACTCAAAAATTGTCGAACACCTTTTGTGTCTTTCGGAGGTGGTGCTCTTCGGGACACCACGTCCTTCTATTACTCTTAAGTATCCAGTTTCCGTAGCCGAAAACATTAGCGAAAATCCTGTATTAGTTAAAGCATTTAATACTTGACTTAATTAATCCAAATCTTCACCTTATATTTCTAAAGTACACATAACGTTTAATGTATCTTTAAGGCCAGCAAACACTTTGGTTATGGCACGTTGATAACAAGATAGGGAGTTAGTGAAGCTGCAAGCCATTCGATTGTACTCGTAATGGAGGTCAGAAGTAACAAATGCAATGTATTTAGATCCGCATTTTTGTAGAACTAATACTATAGGACTTGTATACGCTGTGATAACCATTCACTTATTATTCCATCTTTCAACAACTTCTGTATTATTTTTGTAGTACTCTTTTCATGAGGGCTAAACGACATATCCAGAAAGCATTGGAGTATTATCAACAAGTTGAATATTAATTTAACCTATATTAACTGGTGCCTCTGGTATTTTTGTCAAATCATATTCAAGAGTTTTCCTTTGCATCTTTAATAACTGTGGTATTTCTGATTTTTGTTGTTTACAGTCGTACCTAAGAACTGAACTACTTTTCAAAAGAATATCAATGCCATGCGGACGATAAATGATTTCTAAACCAACTGTACTTGATATTGTATTAACAGATACTAGGGTCTTATTTCTTCGTTACAAAACCCATCAAATTTTATATTAGAATTCCACTAATTTTGTTTACTATGTGATTGTAAATTAGAGACATATCTGCGTCTGTATGAACCAAATAAGAAAACGTAAAATTAGAATCATTGTGTGGTACCCTAGTTAAAGGCATAATTGTAAACTGGTATTTTGAAGCACATGTCACTACGGTCTGCCCAAGATTTTTTCCAATTACTTATCTCGTCATGACCAACACGGTTTAATCAGAACTTACAGAACTTAATCGTCAGAAATTACAGATAGCGCCTGACGAATTTTGATAATCTCACAATGTTCGAGATTTCATTTTGAACTTCGAGTAGATTCTAGTTTCCAGTCATTGGTTCAGTTTGATTCTTTGTCTTTGCCTTCAATAACTATTGAAAGATCTTTTCTCCATGGCAAATCATTGTGAAAATAATATAAATCTCATAATTTTGTTCGAGCATAATTACTAATCGTTTTAAAATCCGATCATTTAACTTTATATGTGCGATTAAATTTATTGTTAGTGCCAAATGTCTGCCTATCGTAGTTTATGGGGGATCCTCTGTATGGCAACCCATCGGAAAGGTGCCGTCCTTCCCCACGTAACATTTCGCCTGCTTTTAATACCATTTCCTTAGACACCAAATCGGTTTGCTTATTTTAGGCAGTCATGCGGATGATTGCTTCTTTTCTGTTTTTCACATCACTCCATGTATATTAATTTTATGTAAAGTAAGAAAATCTGCTAATTCTGGAGATGTAAGTATTATAAGCTAATTATGATCCAGAGAAGAATCTAGTATGGTCAGAAGTATTTGAAAAAGTAAGGGCTTATTTTTGTATTTGCACCTATTATTATTCCTCTATCAACATAAATTATTTATGAAGACAAATAACCTGTTTTGGACTCGCACAAACAATAAAATTTTATGTCCAAACGAGATCGCATCAGAAAGATATATTGTTTCTATCAAAATTGTCTTTGTACAACATTAAACTTTTCTCAACAGTGATATGTCTATCTCAGCTATAGTATACATATATCAAGATGAATATTTTTATTTGTCATCAAAAATGTGCCAAATTTTAAGTTTTGTATTCAGATGTTCTTGGTTGTTGCCATGTTCCTTGTTTGCAAAATAAGTTCCACCTGACTTGAGCATATCGTCTTTGCGACGTAAGCCTGTGAAAAAATGGAGTTACTATAGTGTCATTTACATTTCGTTTCTCATGTTCTTTTACGATACCTTGCAGAATGTTTACTACCAAAAATATTTAAATCTCATTTTTATAAACAGGTGTCCATGTATTTGAGAAAGCTCTTGGGTGCTGTTCGACATATTCATTAGTTCCATTTTCAATTATGTCCAAAAATAAGCCATGACAAAAAAAGATTTGAAATATACCAAACATCGTGTTTTTCTCTATTAAATGAAATGTACAACTAGATGTTGATATGAACAGAAATGTTGTGGAGCTGCATTGGGTTGATTTGCACTAATTTCAATCGAACGTGATCCAGTATTCATCATCATATTATCATTGTCTATTGAACTGTCGGTTTTCGACTCATAATCACTGCGAATATCATCTAGAAAGCAATGGCTTGTGCGTTAAGGTGTTAATAATCTTCCGTTTAATTCATATACTAATTTAAAAACAAGTTATTCACAATACTATTCAATTGCTGCAATTTTACTCGAACAACAACAAAATATTAACGTTTGTTTTCAAAAATATTATATATTGTCAAATACATCACCTTTTGTATTGACTCCCAAGAGGTTAGTAGTGCCACCTCATTGATTTTCTTATCACATAAAACACCCTTCAATGGATGAATCTTACGACTTCATTAGGTTCTATGTTTCGTTTCCACATTCTCGTTTATTTTGCAACTTTGAAAGCTTATTTCATAGCAAAGAAAATTTTTTGAAATTGCTTACAACTTTTAATTATCAATACGTAATGTCTCGTGCCATATAAAGAAATAAAACTCATAAAGTGGGAGAATAAAAACAAAATTAATGTTTATATAAATCTCAATAAAAATATATAATATATCTCTAGTTATCGTTTGCATGTTGTGCTTAACGATTCCAACTTAGTTAAACCATCGCATGTGTCGAAGTTTTTGTCGTACGATGCGATAACACCCTACTCTTGTGCTAATAACGCCAAAATAGTAGATTAACGAGAAAAGTTTTAATGGGAATAATAATAATTTACGCGTTAAACAGCGTGGAATGGTCTTTATTACTTTCAGTTATATAAAGCAACCAAGAAAAAGTAAATACTGGTCAATTCGAAAAGCAATTTTTATTTTAATTTTGAGACCCGGTGTGATAAGAAAACCCACCCTGAAAAATTAATTAGTGTGCTGTTAAAGAGTTTTTAATGGTATATCTGTCATTTGCAGACGAATTCAAGATTTCTTGTAATTGAACGTCAAAAACAAATGCCATAGACCGTTTAAAACCTTTAATAAAAACTTTTCCGCTTGACTTAATTAATGTCTTTTTTTAAGAATCACTAAGAGTATATCAAGAGATTAATTAAAATTTTAATTTTCCAACATGAATACTGTTTTAGGGAGTTGTCTTATATCCATAAGTATTTTCCGTCGTTATCTATTCGCCGAGAACACGACATGTTCTGTTAACTGCACACTTTACGACTATCCATTATGTGGAGTAGAGCTGCTGACTTTATGTGAGCATCTGCATAATCTTTCGGCTTGGTTTTGTTTAGCAGGGGATCGTCTAACTTTCGACGAAGTACAATTTAGAACTTACAATGCACCTAATGCACATCACACATTACTACATTAACAGAAATTGCTTTAGAAGTTTGCACATGGAAATTTACATCACAGTGCTTTTGTGACCTCATTTAACCGCTATTTGTAAACATATTCTTTGTTATGCTGTAATTATATGGTGTAAATAAAGTGTAAACATCAATTTATTACATTAATTTTTTTCTTTATCGTTTTTAAATTAAAACCAATTAGTTTATGATGGAAAAATATTCGAGTGAATGTGATGATTAAATATCACCCGGAATTTTAATTTGTTGTGTTCAATATAAAGCACTTTGGAGGGAACACGTATTTCAATGCGTTCCATACATTTTATTTTCCAGAATAAAATTGTGCGTTAAAAACAGTTACTCGTTTACCAGTTTTACTCTTTATTTTGTTTATTTTTGATATTTGTTATCTTGCAGAATAAATGCATATTTTATACTTGCTATTTTTTTGATAAAATTTATTTTGCTGATTCTATTTTATTTTCAATTAAATAAAATTCAAAATAAAATCATGGATTGAGTAATCGAGTATAAAACAATTATTACAAAAAAAATTTGTCATAAATTAAATTAATATTAGAAATTATTTTCTTTGTTATGAAAGTACTTACAGTTTATAAGTATTAAATATCTTCTAAACCTTACAATACGGACAATTTTCGAACGACCACACTATTTGAAATGTCAATATGAAGGAAAATTACAAAGCAACTACGCAATTTTAAAAGTTCCTACTTTTTACTTTACGCGTTCGGGGCAAAAGCGTATTTCGCGCGAAAGCTCGATCTAAGAAGAGCTTTCCCAGAAACGACTCGACGTGCTATCAAAAGCGCACTGTCGACCGAAACCTTCGCTTTGGTTTCGCGCGCGCTCTCCACGAAACGCAAGCGCACAGGTTTCACCGTGTTGCTGTCGGTATTCTACACCTTTTTGGCCCGATTTTTCCCACCCGGTTTGTAGCGATATATTACTTTGAGCATCTTAAGGCTATGTATTTACGCCGTCACGTAATGGCTTGGATCGCACGCATGTTGTGACAGAAATCTGTGTTCGCTTAGAAAGGAGGATACGATGGGCAATATATTTCTTTTTCTAGGGAGGTAAATACGTGCCTACAATAATAAAATCATAAAAAAACATAAAAATGTCCAACAAATTTGATGTATAGGTGATTATTGATTTTATTGTATTTATATAACCGGCTCCTCCACCATTTTTTCAAAATAATCATGCAATAATTGTGTTTATTATGTTGGAATTTAATAAAGCCGTTAAATCGGTACATTATCACGTAATGTTTTGTAACAGATTTGTAGACACCTCTAAAAATTAATAACTACAAACGAGTCAACCGGGGCTGATTCGCTATGAATTATGTCATTAATCTAACAAACAGGTATTATCGTAATAATATGATTCCGGCATAGCTGGTAATCATCAGCAATTACTGTAATTCAAAATCGAAGCACATTCAAATCGCCACTAATTGAAATATAAATGATGTACGGTCGGATTAATATTAACATCTGATTATAATCGCGGGCATAGGGGTTCCAAATTCGGCAGATATACAATTTGCCGCATTACGGTAAATCCTGGCGTAAAACGCAAGCGCGCTAATACTTTGAGGCATTTAGATTAACTGTGATTGTATTTCATCGCGTTCAATACATTGGTACAACACAACTTGATTCGACCAGATATTACAATAAGCGTTACAAGATTTATTGGATTGTGTAACTTGAAGGGTGGATTCAACACGTCACCATATATTTATTAGCCCCCTTCCTTGTATCATCCCCCAAGGAAAATGAAATCGATATTACGGTTTTAACAGGTAAAGTCCGTGAAAAAAGAAATATAAGACTTCATGGTTCATCGCCCTTTAGCCATTATTCTTTCATTGTTTTATTGTGTCAAGTGAACCTTGTTCGGTTCCGCGTTACCGATCCCTTTGAACCTAAGTGTGTCTGCAAGACATATTGCTACTAGAATATTTATTGGCGTGAACAACAGGTTGATAAAATTTACGATTTCCACTATATAGAACTTCTAGATTGTAAAGCGTTGATTTGATTATAATGAAAAGACTAAGAAGTCGTGCGACGACGTCAACAAATTTTTATCTTTACGTTTCCACCTATTTTACTTGCCGTTATCTTTGTTGTCTTTGAAGATGGAGGAATATTAAATATAGCTCTAGAATTACTGGCTTTTCCTTCATCTAAAAGCTTAAAATTATCAAACTTCAAAGCTTTGCAGATAGGTTACGGAACTGAATTAAAAAAAATCTTAAAAAAATTGAAAAGGACTCAATTCGGACTAAATCACTAACTCAAACAAACCGATACCGAATACTTAAAAATATAAACTTATATTGAATTCCTTACTAAAAAGCTTTCTTTTGACATACTACTCATTAAAATATCGCAATTTTTGTAATAGTTAAAGATGTTTATCGCGGATTTCTTCATTACAAGTAATCTAATTATTAGCGATCTACATATGGCGATATAATTCTTGTTAATGAAGCTTTCGTTTAAAGTAAAAGCATCGAAACTTTTTAATCTATCCGAGAGATACAAATGGTAGACTTCAAGCAAAGTTTTACCCGATTCAACCTCTTGTTAGCAACCCAACCGTACCGATATCCAAACATTTAAAAACAGATGGTATAAATATGAGATATAAATGGTATAAATGGTTCAAGCACAGTTTTAAGCGATTCAACCTTTTATCAGTAACCCAATCTTACCGATATTGAAACATTTAAAAATAGCTCATCAAATTACATTTAATTCCTTACTAACTAAGCTTTCTTTTAAGATACGACTCATTGAAATATCTCAATTTTCAGAATAGTTATCAAAAAAAAGATATCTCCATTTTAAGCTTATGCTTGTATCAGCTTAAACCCTACTTAATTATTACCTAACTATCTATTAATTAATCTATTTATTATCTATATAATTAGGTAGTTAATCTTATTAATTAACTACCTAATTATAAGGGAATAATCCAAATATGGGATAAAAACAAGACACATGGCGATGTAATTCTTATTAATTATGTCTGTTGTTTTCCAAGTTCTAATAAATATTGTTATAAATTGAAAAAGTAAAATATCAACAATTTAATTTCGTCTCATTATTTCGTTCCTGTTATCTACATTTTCATTTTCGCATTGATTTTCGTTCTGATCAATTATTGCTAGATCCTCACGTGTTCATCTTCAAAATTAAAATTGTCGTCAATCACTACATTATGTAGTACACAATCACTTGATGGCTTATCTGTATCGTGTATGTGTTCCATCTATAACACAATCAGCCCCAGGGAAGTTATTTAATTGGAAGTGGTTTCCTATTATTGGTTTTTCTTGTTCATCTGGACATTTTATAATTTGAGAAGACAATTAAAGTAATAACACAATATCTACAATATCTCGAAATGATGTATTTTGAGGAATCTATTTTACCATATTCCTCTGTCTGATAATGGTAATATATATATTCATAACTTCTATATTTTTCATCCAAACTGGTAACAACATCTAACCCAAGAATATGCTGAAATAAAATACTTCAAAATAGTAAAAATAAATATTATATTGTACATCGAAGATATCAGCAAATAAAGTAGGTAGAAAATAAGAGGGAAAGTTTATTGCCGTCACACTGGTGACCTAAGGTTCACATAGAAAACGAAGGTATTAAAAAAGAATTTCTCCTTTTCCTTTGAATCGTGCATTTTAGAAAATGGAAAGAATGTCCAAAACATATCCATTTCAACTCTATTGACAACTCGATTTCGTTCTTTTTATTCCACCCGAATTCAAACAAAACCTGAAAAAGATTTTTTTTCGTATACATGTGTTTTAATAAAACAAAAATGTGAATGTTAAAAAGTCTTATTCTGCATACATACCATTATTAATGTTAATTATTAGAATGGATTCAAAATAACCTATGATTAATTAGCTATATAATGAATTGTATGGTTGGATAGTTTAAAATATCGTTGGTCGATGGGAAAATCGAGTTTAACATGGCGTAATCGATACGCAACGTAAATCGGAGGATGCTAATCAAATCTGCAGAACAATAATACGACGCAGATTAATATACGCATATTGACGTGGGGCAATCCCCTATCGATGCGTAACGTTTCCATAATTGAATATCATGAACACGTTTAATGAGTTAATTTGAATTTATGAGGTCGTCACGGTACCCCGGTTACGACGTGCCGCGTCGCGGCATTCGTCCAGGACACCATCAACTCGAAAATTTACTACTTTCGGTAAACACCAGGGCGAAAACAATAAATACGGGCTCGTAAATTTTTTTCACAGCATACAACGTAATCGGCCATTTACGCCCATGCATAAAAAAGTAAAAATGTTACAGTGCGGATTTGAATAATGGTCACGGAAATCTATTGGTCGAAAATTTACATACGAATTTCAACACCCCTTTTTTATTAAAAAAGGTTATAAATAAAGCGATCCAATATCAGAATCTTTTTGTTGATAAATTCAATAGCGAACGCTAACAGGGCATAATAATAAAAAACCGCATTGTTAATTCATTGTAACCGATTGGATATTTTGTGATCTAATGACTATTTTTATTACCAAACAGCTTTGAACATAAATAGGTTTGGATTATTTGCATAAATCGGTTGGTTTGAATTGGAGGGAATGATTTGTCGTGGTCATACCATATCAGGGTGCAATTCGTTCGCAGGCAGTTCCATACGTCAAAACGTTATTTCTAGTAAAGAAATGTACATCGAACGACAATTCCCGTCCAAGCCGTAAATCTAATTACGCTGATTTATACCGTAAGCTCGGTTATGCAGTTTAGCAGTTATCTAAAGGGCACTCGACCGTTCGTTCGTTCTGTCGGTCGCGACCCGTTATCTCTTTCGGCGTCCAAACGCTAAATTCGTGGCGATACCGCGCCGTTTAATAGTGTTTACGATGGCATCAACAATCATAAGCCACAAATGCGGCCTGGGGAAATTATCAATAGTCGGCTCGATTGTTTCCATTTCTACCCTCGTCGACCAATTCCGGCGAAATTGAGAACTTTGCAACTCTAATTACCTCCCACTGTATGTGCACCATTGTACCTTGTCTGTTTGGTCGATTACGCAAATTATTTCCATTAAAGTTCTTAAATAGTTTACAAACAACTATTAGTGTATTGAAATGTTTATCTAATATTTTATTGATGTAAGTATATATGTTTCTACAGTAATTTTCGTTTACTCAAATCCTATATTAGAGGTGCGAAGTTCAAAAATATCGATCATGCAGCGCCGGTTGGTGAACGACACAGTTGAGAATACCTTATTATAAAGTACACGCCATATACCGTCATTGTTAACGGATGATATAAATCGTATTAAGCGCGACCTATATTCACGGATACATACAAGAACGTGAAAAGAAGATACTATAAAAATACAAAAGAAGATTCTAAATACGAAGAAAAGATAGAAAAGATTCTATCTACAGATACAGATATCTAAAGAAAGAAAAATCAACTTATAATTTATTAAAATCAAAACATTAAAGGAAAACTTTCTTAGGTTGCTTGAAATGTTCTGGGAGAGTCGAGGTCATCGAGCAACTAATACATCCATAATCTAAGTTTAAATTAAGGTGCGAAATGCCGAAGAAATTGCTTTACTCTTATTGCGGAGCATCAAGTTAGTACAACCAATAAAGTCTAAAACATGCCATGTCTGTTAACATCATTTTTAGGAATTAATACTATGTCAAAACAACCTGCACTAGAAGAACATGT